AATTAGAAGATGGACTCCGTTTAGGCTCTCTCGCAATGCAGCCACATTCAACTCAAAGTCTTGGTGCCTGAAGTGACCATGCATCGACACCCGTTGGTGCAGCCAGATGGTCAACGGTTGCCACGCCAGGATTTCGGGCTCGTGGGCTTTTACCATGGAAAGCTCGGGGCTCCCAGGCCTCGCTTTGGACAAGTGCACCCCTTTGCTTCGGGGTCCGGAGTTGCAACCAAGCACGGACCCTTTCACACACGCGCAAGCTAACACTGACAATCCAAAGCGTGTAAATCAAGCACACACACACACATGTGTGTGTAAAACATAGTTTATATGTATAACACGTATTGTAAAGAAAGAAACAACACAACGGAGCCCTTAAACCAAGCGGGCAAGGCCTCAAATGCCACACCTGGACATAGGCCATCCTGAGCGGTTGCTCTTGATCTGTGTTTGTTGGTATTGAGTTCCTGCATGATGGCCTACGAGTGGTTAGCGTCGTGCTCAGAGCGTTGTTCCCCTCCCCATTTTTGTCACTGCATCGGATGTCACTATCCCTGTACTTTGGGATTAGCACTTGTGGCTTTCTTGTGTGTGTGGCCTGCCCATGACTGTTTGCTTGCAGAGGTCTCAGTGTCAGACACAGCGGGTTGTTCGGCGTTAACCCCTCTGAAAGGCATTTCTTTGCTTAAGGCACGCAAAATAGTCCATCGGTTTCATTGCTTTTGTTTTTGTTTCCCCCAAGGAAACCGAAAGGGGACACTGTAGGAACAGAACTCCATTTAAGTCCAGCCCAGATTTTTTATATTCCAAAGGGCAAACCAACCGGTGACGTAACACGTTTGTTTCTTCCATTTGATTCCAGCCGAGCGCCCCAGACCCGTCCCCGGCTCCGCTGGTTCCGCCCTTTGGCCCTGAGGCTGCCACTGCTGCGGCGCTACCTCCGCGCCTGCGAAAACCTGGTGGCCGAGACCCTGCCGGAGCTGCGCCGGCCTCGGTTCATCGGTTTCGGGGCCTCGGGTCCGGACACCGAAAAAGGCCCTCGTACGAAGGGGTGCTTGGTGTGCAACATGGCATAGACCCGCATATGTACCTGCATATATATGTATGGTTATATATATATATATTGTTTTAATAGATACATACACATGTGCATATGTACGTGTGGGAGCCGTCCGAAAGGTCTTTGTGTTGAGATATGAAAGCCACTCAGTATGCGCCACTTCGCAAAAGCTCCGCCAGAAGCCTCGCCAAATGTATGTTTGTTTTCAAGCAAAGACTGTTGGGGGGCCTTTGTCAAAAACTCCACGTAAGGCGACCAGCTTTCGCAGACAAGTCACGTGTACTGAGCGTTAAGGCTTTGCCGGGCCATGTGTGTTTGGCCTCACGTCATTGTCTTGCTGATTTCGAGTCACAGCTTCGCCCATGGACCTTGCTGCCAGTTTTGATGGTCCAGCCTGCACTCAACGAACAGTTTCGATGATCCAGCTGGAGCTGCCGAACAGTACTTTGGGCACAGTACGTGTTCTGATTCGCATTCAAACGTGCCAACATTCCGACTGACATCGCCAAGGTGAATGTATTATTGTAAGGAACACCTGCAATGCTCCAGTTAGAGTTGCTTTCGCGCACTTTGCGTACCATGATGTACTATGCTTGTACTGAAAAAGAGCGATTTCCAGTTGAAGCTGCCAAGTTGCGCTTCGTTTGTGAGGGGACTTCGGATTCATCCGGACCAAAGCTACCAGTCGGAACGCCCTAGAAATGGTTTCCGCACCACAAGGGGAACCCCCCAGTGCACTATAGGTTATTGACCCCCTGATGCTAGTGACGTCGAACCAAAGGTCGAGAGCTCTGTGGCCCCCCAGATGTGGTATTCACCCTGTGTGTGTGGGTGGCTGTGAACAATTTGGATTGAGGCAAACGGCCTATGCTGGGTGTTGGCAATCAGAGACGCTGACACGTGCATCCCGCCAATAGCATCAGCTTAGCTGTCACTGGCTGCTTGTCGACCACCGTATCATCTACCATTTGTCGCCTCAATCATCAAATGCTATCATTGTGCCCTGCGGGGGAGCCTGGCAATGCTTGGTTGGTCACAGATGTGATGGCTGCGCAAGCTTCAACGGCTTTAACTGAACCTTTTGTTGCCCCCTTTTAACTCTCCATGATGAGCAACATCTATTGCTCCCGGTGGCTTGTCAGATGTCATGTAAGGTGACTAACGGTATGTCCGCAACAGCTCAGCTAGTGTTCATGACTTCCAGTTTATGTTGTGAAGGGATTACATGGCTGCCCACTCACCAAATTCCCTTGTTTGCCAGGACATCATGATCTTTACAGTGGCTGTATGAGTCAGCGTCACAAGACCTGGTTGCTCGATGGAGATGGCTACCCACATTTGTTGGTGAGCTATAAGGAGAGGGGGCCCCTACCAAAGGCGTCCCACAACATGTGGACACTCGAAAATGCCAACCAATCGGATCATGGCCTTGGCTAAATGAACAGTTTCTTCCTCAGCGCCATGCTCCCCCCCCCCAAAAGAGTTTCATGAGGGCTTCCTCCCCTTCTTGCATGTAACCTGACTGGGGCTGCTGGGAGATCATTTTCCTCCAAAAGGCTCGGTCCCTCAGGTGGGTTCTATGTTAGTGGGCGAAAGCATCCATTTGCTTAAGAACATATTTTTAGGTTCCCTTGCTGGTTTTAAGGGGAATCTATCACTACTGGACGTTTTTTTGCTCTTTTTTTTTAACCAGGAGGCTTAATTAAATGGAAGAAGGGTAGATCCCTTTGGAGATCTCAGCCGTTGCTGTTGGGCCACAGGCGTGAGCACTTCATCAAGCAGGGCGTGCAGCCTGCAGTGTGCCCTCGGTCAGAGTTGAGCCCCTGAGCAGCTTGACACGGGATTCTTAGCTTTTGGTTTTGCTTCACAATGCGTGGTAGAGAACCCACGAGACCCATGTCTAAAAGGCAAACAGTCTTTGCATAACGTACATACTTGCGTGTCTTGGTTGATGGAACGGTAGTTATGTTTCACTACATTTGTTCTACTTGTCATTCGACGAGAATTGCCAGGACTAAACCAAGTGGACACATTTTAGCGACTTGAGCGAACGCCAGATCAAACAGACGTAGCCACTGCCCGGATGTACCCGGGACCCTGAGGACCTGGCAAGGGCCAGGAGCTGATGCTGTGCGTGAGATCACCCCGAAACGTCGGGCGATCCCGAAAACCGGAGTGCTTGACCTGTCTTGTAAATACCTTCTCCGCGATTGTGATAGGTTCTTCTTCTTTTTCCGAGAAAAAAAAACAGGTTCTTCGCGCAAACAGTGGCATTCTCACACGATGTGCTCACAGAAGATGGCGATGTCAACTTGCATAAGTTGTTCCCTGTGTTGAGCAATTTAGAGAAGGTTGCTAATACCTATTTCGTTGCAGAGATGCAGCCAGCAACCATTTGACCCAGGTCTCTGGAAACGCATCTGATCTGTTCTTGCCAGGCAGGGTCATCGGTAATAATCCCTTCACGATGTGTGACAAGCTTAAACGTAATCTCCCCCATCAAGGCCAGTACCCCCCCCCCCCCCACTCCGGAAAAAATAACATAAACAAATATTGGATCAGGCGGACATGGTCACCATCATTTGACTGTTGGTTAGCCTTTCAAACCGATCTGGTAGCCTCAAATAGGAGTTGATGCCAATTCCAACCCGTTATGGTGACGGGGCTTGCTGGCACACAAGCTGACTTTGCCAGATAAAGCAAATTGCCAGGTGCGTTTTCCTGCGCAGTGTGTGTGACAAAGAGGTACTTGCACCAGTGGTTCCTGACCTTCTTCATCAACTGCTTTCCTATCTCCATGGCCGGAAACTTGGTATCGTTGGGCATGGCTGGCTTCGCGCTTGCGCGCGCGAGGGCGCAGCCAGCGTTTGCAGCAAGAGGGATCTGCAGAAACCACTGGACCGAGGTGCAGAGGGTGCCTTGATTTCTGGGTTTTGTGCATGGGACACATGCCACCTTGGGTTGCCTGGTGCATCAGCCCGTGAAGGACAGGGGTCCTATGCAGGTATCACAACTTCGGCAAATGGAACTGCTCATGATCGAAGTGGATGGACAGCGTGCAAACGCTTTCGATGAAGAGACCAAGTTTCTGGAGACAGGACAGCGTTCCCTTCAACGCGGAAGCGTGCATAACCAATCGAAGAATCCCCAAGAAACGCGTCCGCAATCAGAGGAAGGTTGACGTTTCATTGACAATAATCGGAAAGGCGCCCTCAGAGGAGAAAGAAGCAAATGCACAAGAGTGTAGAACTGAAGTCGATACCCATTGTCCAACCGATCACCGACCGCTAGTCTTGGTAGTCCTGCATAGTGCAATTAGCTGCCAGAAAGCACTTGGTGCATTGTACTGGCAGTTTGTGATTTCCCAGCGCGTGTTTTTGTACGTACTTCGCGTACAGTTCCTTGACAGAGTTGTTAAGTTTTGCGGGCTGGAGTAGCCAATCGCGCCCTATTCTATGTCCGATGTCTGTTCTACGAAATATGGAGCTCCGATTGGGGACACCCGCAAGTAAATGTCCGCTGTCCTCCGGGAAGGAGGTTTCGGCTGAGGACTAGGAATGCAAGTGCAACAAAGACAATTGTTGCGAACATTCACTTGGGTTGGTGGAACTGACAAAAGCACAAGGCTGACTCATTAGAAAAAGTAGTCAAATTAGTGACCCTCATCGATTGAACACATGAGTTCATGTTTGCCCTTTTGGGCTTTATTTTATTGTCCACAGTCTGTGACATGGACTGAAACTTACATATCACACGAAAGACACGCTGAGTTGTGCTGACCTACGACCTGGCGATTCTACAGTGTCTATCCTACTGGAGTTGTAGTTGAACCAATACGCGAAACAGCCCAACCAGACAATCAAGCCATCCAAAGAGCTTGCGAATGCACACATGGGCAGATTTGCTCCCGAAGTGTTGTTGCAATGGGCTCGCTTTGCCTGGCATGAGCAAAGTGCAAGACTCTCGCTTGGACGTAGCTCCGGAATGTTTATCCATTTCATATCTTCGCCGGAATTAGTTCCCCTTATTATTTTTCTGCATTTTTGGGGTTCCCTTTGTTTTCCACTAATAACCAGGCCGAGAGGAGCGGACACTAAAAGCACCACATGTGAGCGTACTGGAACCTGCCTTCGGCGTGGACACACCGCCAAAGCATTTGCGGAAGGCATTGTCCATAAGCGAATGTCGCAGACGTATGGGAATAACACAACAAGGGCTTGAGAGAAGGCCTCCTAGACTGATGTGAGTAGGACTCTTTTGGGGGTCTCGTGACAACCATAGGAACATCGGCACGCATTATAAGTATGACGTCAGGTCCTCATCCTTTGGGACGTCATCATGTGCGAGGGCCTGCCGGTGATTCTGCGCATCGCTGTGTCCATCTTACAGGTGCCAATCTTAGGGTGGGCCGATCAACAATTCGGTTTCTTCCCGCACACTCCACCGGATTCCTTCCGCCTGACCTTGAACAAATGAAGAACAGGGTTCCTCGCCCACGATTTGGGACAAAAGAAGGCAACCTTTGTGATGTTTTGCGAGTTTTACCCAAACGCACGTCTTTGGGGAGCCTCCACTTGTTTGATCTCGGAAGTACACTGGATTAGGGGATCACAGCATGTTTACTCCTCCTTTCTGAAGTTTTAGACTCGGCAGCTCTTGTCTGGTTTCCAGAAGCAGGGGTGCCACCAAAGAAGAATACCCATTGAGTGAAAGAGAAGATTGATTGATCATGATTAGGTTTGAGAAACCAACCATGGAGATGCGCAGAATCAATCCAGGCGTAGTTGATTTCCGTCTTGCAGCAATCCTACTTCGGTGTTCGGCGAAACATGTTTCAGTCGTGTGTTGTCCGTTGTATTTTGAGTTGTTTTTTCTTTGTCATTTATTCCTTATTCCTTACTCTATGTTGTTCCTCAATTTGCCATCGTTTACTCCAGTTCCGATATCTTTCTTGTCCTGCTCATCCCTTCTCTTTCTTTATCATGACTTCTTTCCCTTCCCTTCCCTTCCCTTCCTTCCCTCCTTCCTGTTCTGACATGGGTATGGGTCAAAATTGACCAACCAGAGGACAGGTTTTAGTGCTTGGCAACCCTTTTGCCAGGCCAACCCATGTTGGGTTTACCATAATTTTGACCACCACAGCCAGACGTTTGTTTTCTGTTGATCTTGTTTTCCAGGTCTCAGTAGTGGCCTTTTACCCTTTCTTTTTTTGGGGAGGGGTCCCCTACTAAAACAGACTACAGAAAAAGGGTACCCATAGGTGTCCTTTTTGGTTGGTTTGCTAAAAAAAATGGAGGGCCCTGGTTTAGATGGGGTTTATTCCATTTACCAAGGCCATCTATTCTTCCAAAAGGCCACCTATGAGGGTACCAACTTATTCTAACCTTTCCAACTTCTCAGCCGAGGTCTTGAAGGACTCGCTCCTCTCCATGGAGTTCGAGGTGAAGGGCCCCAGCACTCGCTTATCCAAGGTACTCACCTGGACACTGTTTTTAGTGGACGACATATATATATATATATCCATATATATATATATTTAAATATAAACATATAATATATATATATATATATTATACACAACTTATATAATATGTGTGTTTTGTTGAGGGTACCCTTGGCTTCTTTTGGGTTTACAAAGGACGCCGAAGGAACGCCACCTTGTTGGGGTCCCCCCATTTTGACGTATGTGTTTTGATTCGTTGCAGTCCGGGGCAGAAGTCCCTGACGGCACATCCACGGCCTTCAGCCCGCCATTGCCACTACCAGATCCAAGGTTAGAACTGTGCTGTAGAGATCCTTGTTCTGGTTTGGTGGTCTGGTTTGACCGGTTTGAGTGTGTTTATTGATCGAATGCGCCCTTTCCAAGTGAAATAGTGTTGGTCCATTCTGGCTCATTGGAATCATTTCTCGGGTTTCCTTACCACGTTGCTTTGCGCAGGAAATCATCAAGTTTTTCAAGATGATGAAGACCTACCATGACGAGGACGAGCACTCGGCACGCTGAGACAGGAGGTCTCGCCCCTTTCGGGTCCTGGAGAGAAGTCGAAGGCAAAGACTTAAAAAAATACCTCTGCTCTTGATTTGTGGTGCCTATATATATATATGTATATATATATATAGATATTCATGTGTGATGGCTCCAGCTCGTTGCATATTTTGTGCACAATGCTTTGTCATTCTAGAGTCCGAACATTTGTCATACCCCTGATGGCGTGTATGCCATAGGAGCCCCGTATAGTTGGCATACAAAGACCGGGAGTGTCGTTTCCTGCATATGGTTTCCTAGTTGGTACAACCTCCCCGCCCTTTTTCGCGGCTGGTATGTGTTTTTTTGGGACCTCCTGCAGGGACCCTCAACATGACTGTTGGCCTTGAGTGGTTTGCTGTTTTGCTCCTGAAAGTTATTTTAGGTGGATTTTGGCTACAGCATAATGTGTAGGTACTACCAGAACAGCGTCCGTTCATGTTGTTCTTCAGTTAGCCTCATGCTCAGGATATACTTGTTTTCACGATGTTCAGTTGGCTTTGCTAAGGAGGCACGTGTGGTGACTCTCATAGTTGCTCTGACACCGTGTTTAACTGCATTATGAGCTGTCACTTCTCGTCAGCGGCCCAACTACCCGTCGGAAGTGCACCTTTGAATAGGGACATGTGTTTGCCGCACGCTCGCCATATGAAGCGTGGATCCAAAATTGATGTCAGCGTTGATGTGTTGGGTCGAGTTCTGAGCTCGGTCTGCGTGAGCAACAAGTTGCGCAACGCCTAGTGTGTTGCGTTCAATGGTTCGTCATCTCGAATGGACGCCTCCGGCACTAACATGTCAGGGTGTGAACTGGCAAAGGCACACAAGAACACAACCACACAGACACACACACACACAAGAATCCACACAGACACAGATACACGCGCATACATAGACATTCATATAGAAACACACGCGCACTTACACACACGCACCCACACACACACCGACCCAATGCACAAGCACAAACAACCACAGACAGACAGACAGACAGACAGCCAGCCAGCCAGACAGACAGACAGAGAGACAGACAAAAGGCCAGACACTACAGACAGGCCAGGACAGACAGGCCAGACGCGCGGACGGGCAGAGAGCGAGCGAGCGAGCGAGAGAGACAGACAAAAAGACAAAAACAGAGACAGAGACAGAGAGATAGACAGACAGACAGACAGGCAGGCAGACAGGCAGGCAGACAGACGGGCAGGCAGACAGACAGAGAGACAGGCAGGCAGACAGGCAGACAGACAGGCAGGCAGACAGTCAGACAAACGAACAAGCAAACACACACACACAAACAAACACGATCACACACAAACAAGTACACGCACGCATGAGTCCTTGATCGCGGGACACTTGTAGCCCACTCCACTCGAAGGCTTTACACTGCTGGAGGCTGGATCAGCAATTGAGGCTCGAAGCGTTGGAGGCCCCGTCTATCCTTTTCCGGTTGCATAGCCAACATGTCAAATCATTGCAAGACATGAAAGCAATACTCCACAAAGGTTTCTTCTTCGGCCGAAGTCTTCAGATAGGTATGGGTCAAAATTACACCACCAGGGGACCGCAGGTTTTGGTCCATGTTTCCATTTACCAGGAGTCCATTTTGGGTACATATTTTTGACCCACAGCCAGACATTTGTTTTGTGTTGATGTTGTTTTTCCAGGTCCCCCAGTAGTGCCCTTTTACGCTTTTTTGGGGGAGGGTTCCCCTACTAAAACAGACTACAGAAAAAGGATACCCTTATTCTAACCTCTTTACTGGAGGACCTAGTTGTGGATGGAACGGAGAAGGTTTTTGGGTGTTGGTGTGGACACGGGCCTGCTTCTTCATTCCGCGTTTCGAGGACGGCGAGCTGGGCGCGGTGAAGATCGGGCAGCTGCGGGGGGCCGAAATCGACAGGTCACGTCACCCCTGGCTGTTGTCAAAACCAATGGGATCCCATTTCGGGCTAGGTGAATTCACCACCCATGTTAGAACCTACTTTGGTGGGGATTGGGATGTTCACTTGGGGTACGATTTGGATTTTGACCCACCGCCCCCTTACTTGGTAGTTTGGATTGGTGGTGTTGGTTCTTTGACGCCCTGGTGCTTGAGGATGAATGGGAAGCCACCCCTAGTCTCCACACAAATCCAGGCAAACAATCAGAGGGAAACTTATTTTACCCCTTGCAGGTTTGGTTGGTCGGTGGCGTTGCGTAGCTTCCCTTGGCAAAGAAGAAGGCTTCAAATCACCAATCCAAGCCGTACCTCATGAAGCGGACCTGTTTTCTGGCACCTCTTTGCATGGCCTCTTCGCCGTGACTTGCTTGGCCTTGTTGGCCCTTATTCGCGTCTTTGGGGACGTGGTTTGTACATTGCCAGACTCTGCTGCCCTTTTGGCCCTTTTGGCCTTTTTGGGTCTCCTTCGCGGTCGATTCGAAGTAGCAAAACTTGTTTTTTCGGCAGGTTCAGCTTGAACGTCATGTTTTGCATTTTTTGAGGTGCACTCAGCGTGGACCATAATTTAAGATTGCAATTCTTGTTGGCGACAGCTGAGGTAGTCTACACGGTGGAGTCAGGATGGTTTTGGAACTGGAGATCCGTTTGAGGGGCTCGTGTAGCCGTTTTTTGTGGGCTAGAGTGAAGATAATTTGGGAGCACTCCTTTTGGGGGACTGTTTTTTAATGGGAAACCAACCAAGCATGGTATCACCAGCCACATGTTGCTCGTGCATGTTCGGGCAGTTTACCAGGGCTGTCGGCAAAGGCGTGAACATGTTCATGGGAAGAAACAAATAGCAAAGTTGGTTATCACGCCCCTTGCAATGGTTGCCGTTTGAGGGGTTTAGTTTGATCATGTCGCTTCAGCCCGGGACATGATTCTGAACTCCAAAGTGATTATACATGGGTGTGTCGTTTGCTGGGAGTACTCTTTTGGCTTTGGTTTGAAAGGATTTCAACAGAAAAGCCACCATTCCCCCCCCTTGCCCCCCCCTATTTTGTCTCAGCCAACCTCTAGACCCAGACAAATGCAGCGCAGACAACCCGAAACCAGGTTGATGAAGCACACGGAGCACGTGAACATCCCAGACAGCACTATACAGTGCCCGCACTGAATGGAGCCTGCGACTCGTTTTCCCGTTGAAAGGTGGAAATCGCCAGTTCCTTCCTTGCAAGAAGTCCCTGAAAGAGACGCTGGGACAGCTGAAATCTCTTCGGATTTCATGTTAGCGGGATGAAGGATATGTTCCGATAAGTTCGCGTGGGACTCCCTTTGTGAACATCAACAGCACCATAGCGGACAGCACGTGGCAGTTGCTCAACCTATGGTTCTTCAGGATTATGTTGGTCAGAGGTGTCATCGGAAACTCCTACTCTGACTGCCTTCAGTGAGCGATTGCAGGCATGTTTATAGGAAGAATACCGTGAAGCTGATTGGAGCTAGCCGCGCATGGCTCTCATATCTCAGCTCCTGCCGCCAACTTTGGGTATTTCACGCATGCGATGCATGCGCCGTTTCTCTTGGCGTTTGCCCCTTCAAGGTGAATGAGACGTTCCAGATGTTCCATCCCAAGCTGTAACTTGTAGGACGCTGCGTTGCATGTGAGCGCTCATGCACAGCTTCACGCCACACGCCGATCCCCACGCCTCCAGTCCCGGGCAGCGCTTCTTCATCGATTTTTGCGCATACTGCTGCAGATGCTTTCTTTCTACAAAGATCGGGCGCAAACTGGAGGGCTTGAGGCTGCTTTGCCCAATGTGAACAGGGCCTGTCAGCCTTAGGACCAAACCTCTGTTTGGGCAATGGTCGCCTTTGGTTCCCCCTTTCATATATACTTTACTCTGAGACGCAAGCATGCTCAGTGCGCAGTCAAAGACCCACAACATTTTCCTTCCCAACACCTGGAACCACTGCTTTAGACGGACATTGCCAATGTTTCTGCATGAACATAAGACTCAATTTGAGCAGTTCGACTCTTCGGGTAAACCAAAAAGCAACGTAGCGCTACTGATTCCCTCTACCCCCGAAATGCTTCCTTAGCTTTTTCTTCCGGCCAATCTCCGGAGGCTCAACTGGTCCTCAAGCTGCATTTCACCCATTTGGCTGTGGTTGTCAAAACCAATGGTACCATTTTGGTTGGGATTGGTGAATTCACCACCCATTTTAGGTTTCCTATTTTAGTAGTTGGATTGAATCGGATGTTCCCTGGGGGCCTTTTCCGGGGTCTTGACCCACCGCCAAGACCCGAGGCCGAATGATTTTCCGAATACTTCCCACGGCGCCGCAGGTATCTGCGGCATGGGGAAGAGAGCAACCTCGACCCCGACGAGTCTTGGGACTGGGAGGCGACCGATTGGAGCCCCGGGCTTTTCACCAGGATTGCTGTTGCTTCTATTGGTACTGATGGACGAAATCCATTTCGCACCTTTCAGAAACCCTTTCTGATAGTTCCCCTGGAAATACCAACAAACAATGGGTTTCCCATGGTTTCGACTTGGTGCAGGATTTCGTCCATCCACAGTATCTCGGTTTGCTTCTATGATTTGTTTTAATTGATGTGTTGCGCTGCTCACGTTGCTGTGTTGGTTTAGTTGGTTTCATCCTTTGGCCCTTTTTGGATGCTTGATCAGTCCATTCAACAGTTTGGCGTTGTTGTTGAATCCTCGTTGCCTTGCGGCATGATACTCGTACTTGTGTGCAGGGGCTGTACTTCGACCAGCACAACGAGCAAAGCAATGGAATTCAAACTGCTGTGACTGGTCCTTGAAGCAGTTGTTCAGTCCTCCGTTTAGTTGTTCTAGGGGGATCTGTGATTTCGGCCCAATTGATGTGTGGATCACCCTGCCTTGTCGTACCATACATCAGCTTACGAATGCTTCTCCAAGAGAACAAAGATAACATGGAAGGTTGGGTGGGCCGCCGTTTTGTGGGAGTTGTTTGTTGGCGGACCACCAGACATGTCTAAACTGCTCAAGTTCTGGTTTGTTACCCCCCGCATCCC